CAAACTTGTTTTTATTCCTGTCCTCTCTATTTATAATGCATTTGTCATCAAAGTCCACCCTGTATGACATTTCTAATGTTCTGACTTATGCACCTGCACACCCACGTGTATTTGTCACCATTCTACACTCCAAATATTCCAGTTTATTCACCCACAGTGTGCTTCCTGTCCCCCACTCTTTCCTTGCATCAGAAGAATCTGACTACCACACTGACTATGAAGAGGATGCACTGGAGAGTGCTCTCTCTGACATGGAGACGTATAATCGCTATGGAGAGCACACTGAAGGGGAGGAGACGGCTGACACGGTGCGAACTTGTGGTAGTAAGATTAGAAACTGTGGGCTCTCTTTAAAGAGAAGAAGAGCAAGCAACCACAGTGAGGAATTTGTTTTTACTCATGTCTAAAACAGGCTTTTCAGGTTCCATTTTAATAATTAATTTTATTGTTTTGCAACACAGATTTCCATTATTGCAAAGGTTTGTCTGGCTTACAATGACGACACACTTAGTTAAACTAAAGTGATATAATTTAGAAGTTGGGGCTTGAGAACATTGTATACCTGAAACAATACAATTCAGGTTGTGTTTTGTATTTATTTATTTTATGGCTGTCTGACAATTTAAACATTCATTTTTAGATTTAACAAAGAAAAATGGGGATGACTATGCACGCCTCAACCTGATTCTCATGATGTAGAACTGGATGGGAGATCGACATGCTCCATTACCCCGCCCACCAGCTGCCACCATCAGTTTCCGGCTATCCCTAACAGTTCACTGGAAGCGATGTCAAACCAGCAAGTAAATTCCAAGTAGTTTGTTTTTTTTTTGAATGGTGGAGTAATAAAAGTTGCTTAAACAGGTTAGCACAATGGAAGCATTCTGTCTTTGCTACATTTTACCCTCTAGTGTGAAAGACCAGACTCTACCTGCAAAACCTGTCATTTTGTCTTCTGTGTATCTATGTATATGTGTGTGTGTGTGTGTGTGTGTGTGTGTGTGTGTGTGTTTGTTTTTTATAACTTGCATTTCTGCCGACGCCTCTCGTTATCGATACAGGGAAGAAAATGAGCTAGCAACATAGGGTTGACGAGCAATTTCCCTGCAGAATAAGCGAAGCACAAACTTCTAACCTCCTTAGTCACCCTTCATGCAGTCATCTCACTTTCATTTCCACTACACTGTTTAACATACTTGTGTTTGGTTTTTTTTTGTTTTGTTTTTTTAAAAACAAGCTGAATTATATCAATAGGTATTTTAAGGAGCAGTTATCTGGACTGTTAGACAGTGTAATGCCAACATGTCCAGCCTTTGAGTTTGAAACTTTGTTCTGGCCATGTTGGATTGGAGCTTAAAATATTTTCAGTGGTTGCAATCCACTTCAAAAAACTAGTTTCCCCCCTTTTCTGGTGAGAGCCCCCCCCCCCCAAAAAAATCTGTTTTGAGTCTGTTGGAGGCTGCTCAAGGCTGAACAGCAAACATTGTGGATCTGTCAAATGAAATCTGTAGCTCAACTTGTCTCTACATAGTTTATGCACAGGAATATGTGCTTGACCAAGTGTAGTTTGTTTTTGTTTGTTTGTTTGTTTTTGTTTTGTTCTTACCTCTGCGATGTAGAGCTAGGGTAAATTTATATTTTTATTTTATTTTTTATTAAAAACAAGTTATCTGTGCATACAGATTTTTCAATGTAGTCAAAATATATATTTAAAGAATATATACATATTTTATATATGTGCCAATTATGTAGGCCTTCTCGATTAAGAGTTGTTCAGTCATTCCAAAAATGCAATTCAATGCACAATCGGTTAAGTACATAGCTTTGATTAACATGCATACTTGTATGACAGAATTAAATTAATACACTGCTAATTTAATCTACATAGTAACAAAAAGATGACTCAGAGGAAGGATCTTCGCCAAGACTAATACTCCAATAAAACATTTTTCAAAAAACACCATGCTCAAATTCATGTTATTTAATAGTAAAGGAGTACTGTATTTTTCAGACCATAAGGCGCACTGGATTATAAGGCACACTGTTGATGAACGGATCTGTTTTCATACATAAGGCATACTGAATTCACTTGCAGCTGCTCTATTACGATATTGTTGCAGTATATTAATGACTAACCTCGTATTGTGGATGGATTATCTCGGTTGTTCTCCTGACTGAAGTTTGGTCCATTTTACAACATCCTGCCATGCGATTTCATTTGTCGCTAACCATCGGGAACCCTCACGTTAACCTTACATCTTACTCGAGTGGAAAAAAGTTAGCGTTCATCCTCCAGCTTCACTGTGTTTATGTTATGCTAACATAGCTGTGTCGCTAGCAATCACGTAGCAAATCATTATACCAAGTAGGCCGATTCAGTAACCCTGCGAACATCACTGGTTTTTAGTTTTCTGTCTTAATTTATGTTGGAAGTGATAGCAGAGCTGTACGTTTTAGTTTTTTCAGAAATCTCTGTCAGAACATGCCGTATCATGTTTAGGTGGAAACTAGCGAGCTAACTTCCTGCTAACTTCTAACTCAGTTAAATTTAATAAATTCTGTTTTCATGGATGCCTGGATGCTAAAATTAATTGTGTTCATTTGACTTTGGGACCTGAAGCGAACAGAGTTTTGGCTCCTGACTACGCTAGCCGTAATGCTACCATCAAGCGGTGTGGCTTCATAGCTTACTAAAGTCGTACTAAAACACTTTTGGACAGATTTTTGAGCGCCGTGTACCACATAAAATCAGTTCGAGGTCAGTAAGCACAACCAGAATTCATACATAAGGTGCACCGGATTATAAGGCGCACTGTCGATTTTTGAGAAAATTAAAGGATTTTAGGTGCACCTTATAGAGCGGAAAATACGATTATGTAAAAGATGAAATGACAAAAAGATAGTGTTCTTTCCATGGAATCCTAAAGTTTGATTTAAAGTCCTGTGTTAAGTCTGTGCTGTAGCTGCACCATAGCCTTAACATGCAGCTTTACAAAAATATAACTATATGTACACATCATATGCTCTACAAAGTATATTTATTAGCACAATAAATCTAATACAGCTGTGAAACAACATGTGATAGACTGCCAGTGTAGACAGCTCAGCTTAGTTTAACAAGTGACTAACAGGTGACTAAGCTAATTTTCATTTGGCTGTTTTAAAGGGGAAGCTCCACCGCTTAATCCTGATGTCCAACAAAATGTAATAAATTCTTCCTTTGCTCATTTTTTTACCTCTTCAAGTGTCTTCATATGTGACTTCATATTTTTTCTTTTTGTGTAATCCTGCTAATATAAGAAACTACAACAAAAGCGTTATGTCTGTGGTGGAGGTAACTAGTGCTGACTATTATTTCCTGTATTTATTCATGTATTACTTGAAACTAAATTTGTTTTGGTTTTTACACCAATAGAGAATGATAAATGTGAATATGTAAGTTTTTTTTAATGTAACTTTTTTCGTGGCTAACACTTAACAATCCAAAGATTCTTACATTAACTTTTGTGCTGCTTTTTTTTTTTTTTTTTTTTGCTAAATTTTATTTTTATTAAGACATACGAGGTGAATGATTATCACATTGCTGTTGTTGAACTTCTAATTGCTTCGGGAGCATTTTCAGTATTACCAGAACTCGACCAAGGCTGTTTTCTCTTCTTGCTTTTGTTTGCAGCAGATACAAACATGGACTGAGTGTGCGTAAATCTAATTAGAACTTTGCCGATGCAACTTTGCTTTCCTCGTCTTTCATTTCCTTAAACTCTGATGCTACACTGCCTGCAGCCTTACATTATGTGTACACGGTGAGAGAAACCTTGTGATAAACACTTTGGGCTCTCATATGATGATTGGTTAAATGTGCTCTGTACAACAGCTCAAGACAAGAAAACGTTTGCTGTTTACCAATGAGGTGATGGAGTTCGCTCTGATATTGTTTGTACCTAACCCTCTGCACAGGGAATCAATCTTGTCTGGCAGAGTGAACGTCTCATGGATGAAGTGCTGATGTAATGTGTGGAACTGTGCCATGAATTAATAAGCCTTAGATGACCCACGTTAGGGGAGGGGAAAAAACGACCACTTGTGCCCTTATTTGACACCCATTCCAATACTAATGATGTAGACTGAAGAAGTTTACTGTTAAGCCTGTAATGTACAATTACTGCCCAAATGTGTGTTCTGATAAGCTGTTTTACTAATTAAACACTGTTGCATTGTGTGTTGTTTTGTTTTTCCTTTTCTCCAATTGTCTCTATTACAGTTTATTGTAAGAGAAATTGAATTATTTTGGGCTGCAGAGAAAGTAACTAAAATGAAACTATCAAGGGCTTTAGTTACTAAAAGGGCATATCTTATGAATAATGTTGTAAGGCACTTGGTTCTTGGTGAAAAGGATTTCTCCATGCCTTCCAGGTGAGGCAAAATATTAGGAACACCAAAAATGTGTTTCAGGAATGGCTATAATATCCTATAAGTAACCAAAACATTAATAACTGTTATAATTAATATACGAGATCATACTTTTAATTATTTAACAGTCTAAGCATTGTCTCTCAATTTCCCCTTGGCATGAATAGGATTATTTTAATCACCACTAGCCTGCTGATGGAGAGCAGGACGAATCATCCTTGAAACTAATCAAACAAGGGAACACTTTTCCAGTTTTGGTAAACCCTTGTGAATTGTAGCCTCAGTGACCTGTTCTTATGTAACAAAAGTTACACTGGGGGAGTTCAATGTGTTGTGCCTTCAGAGATGCTCTTGCACATACCTTGTTTGTAATGAGTGGTTATTTTCAGTCTTGCTTTCCTATCAGCTGGAATCAGTCTGGCCATTCTCCTCTGACATTGGCAATGCTTTCTTGTGGAGAGAACTAACACTTGATGGGTCTGTCTAGCACAAACCCCTCGCTGGAACAATCAGAGACAATTCTACTACAACGGCAAAAAGCATTAGACACCAGGCAGAACTCTTTGTGTGATCTCGTGCATGAGGGAGAGAACTGTGACGAGCGCTGCTCCTGACGCTCGAACCCCACAGAGATACTCCAGCAGTTAAAGAGATGGTTAGCACACAAAACTTACAAGTAGACGTAGCTGTATCAGTGGATAAGTTAAGCACCCAAGAGTGATAGTGGTGTCTGGTATTTCAGACTATTGTAACGCAGATGAAAGGGGCTATGTGCTGAGTTCAGAAGTGAGTGTAAACTCTGTATCACTACACAAGGCTCACAACTGTAGTTTTGAGAGCTCTGGCTGCTCTGCATCAGCTGTTAATTCAGATAATACTGATACTGACCTTTTAAATA